CTGTAGGAGTCTGTATATATAATGAATTTTCTATGTTGTAGCGTTGAAATGTACAAAAGCGTATAATATACGGCAGTCAGTTCCGTGGTTAAGACCGAGGAGAGATGTAAATGGCTGCCCTCCAAGTGGTCACCAATTATAAATGACATCCCAGCATGACAAGATGACTTGGATCCATCCAGTGTATATGGAAAGATAACTGCTGTAACTATGCCTATGCTCAGGAAAATTTTGTCTGTACATGGTCTCATTAGTAGTACTTTTGATGTAACTGTGGAAAATATCAAGAAGCTGTATTTTTGCATTTTCCCTGGGTGGGATTTCAAAATGCTGTACTGCTTGTGGGGACATATCACAAAGGGAGAATTCTTCAATGAGAGGACGAACTCTGACAGGAAAAGGTAAAACACAGGATGGACGTGCTTCAAATAAAAGATCACAGCTATTATCAAGTAAACACAGTTTATAAGGATGGTCAGCTTGAGACAATATATTAGAATACTGTAAAAGAGACAACACCTCATGCCTCAAACAGAGTGATGGTTTGTAACAGTCAACATAGTCTCTGGACAGGAAATGTCCTGAAGGCTCCAGAACAAATCTGCAGAGCCTGATGATGAACAGGATCTAGTTTTAACAACACTGAGACCGACCGAATCCGTAAACAACTCAGCCATACTCCAGTCTAGAGCTAACAAGAGCTCTGTAAATACAAAGCATAGAGCAATGCTCTGCACCCAAGCAGGTGTTTGCCAGGACTTTTAAAATATTAAAAAATTTCTTTCTCACGTTTAGGACATGAGAAAGTCAATTTTCGGTCGAAGAATCACTCCTAAAAATTGTATTTCAGGTGCAACTGGAATCGCTAACACATTAAGATATAATTCAGGCTCAGGATGGAGACCTCGCTTTCTACAAAAGTGCACACACGCAGTCTTCTGTTTCAAAAACGTAACTCCTTTCTGTTTGCCCATTCAAGTATCCTGTTTAAAGCGATCTGGAGCTGCCTCTACATGTCTCATATCTGCTCCTCGACAGCTAATTTGTAGGCCATCAACATATGAAGAACCTAAAATTGTGAGAGGAAGTTATTTTAATACAGAGTTTATTTTTAGGCTGAACAGGGTTATGCTAAGCACACAGCGTTGAGGAACACCCTCTTCCTGTTTGAAAACTGCTGACAATACAGACATACTTGAAAAGTTCTAGATTCCAAAAAATTCTGAATGAAGAATGGTCGGTTGCCCCGCAAGCCACTATCATGAAGATCCTGAAGTATACTGTATCTCATGCCTTATCACAAGCTTTCTCAATGTCAAAGAATACTGAGACAAGGTGACTTTACAAAAGCTTTTCGAATGGATGTCTCCAAGAGGAGTATGTTATTTACGGTTGTTCTCCCCTTTTGAAAACCGCTTTGCTAAGGCGATATATTTTTTTCCAAGAAGTAGACTAGGCGGCTGTTTACCATTTTTTCAAACAGTTTGCATACGCAACTTGTAAGGGCAATTGGCTGATAGTTCAGGTGATTCCTTGGGTCTTTCCCTGGCTTAGCAATAGGAATCACACAACAGCTCTCCTCCATGCATTGGGAAAAGTTTGCTCCTTCCGCTTCCTATTGTAAAGAGTGAGAAGTGCAGTTAGTGACTGATAGGACAAGTGCTTCAGCATTTCATAATACACGCCATCCAGACCCGGACAAGAGCTATGAATCTGTAACAAAGCTCTCTTTAACTCTAGCACGGTGAAATCTCCATTATAAGGCGCAAAGTTGGAAGAGTTGAAAGTGATGGGATTTTTCTTAGAACGCTGCGTGATAGAAATGCAGGTGAGTAATTTCTGTTGGAAGAAACAGCAGCAAATGTGTCACCAATAGTATTCACAATTTCTTCTATAGGGCCAATCTTTTTCCAAACAGGAAAGTGAGTGGTCTTTATATATTCCGCATGGTGTTCGAACTCTTTGCCAAACCTGCTTACTAGGCGTAGAGGATGTTATTGATGACACATGTAATCCAGGAACCCCTCTGGCTCTGCCTTCTTACTTTTCGTGCACTGCTGTTGCTGTTTTGAATGCTATGAGGTTTCGCAAAGTAGGGTATCTGCGGAGAATTTCCAATGCTTTTTTCTGTTTTTTCAGTGCTTCATGACAGTCAGGATTCCACCATGGTTTCGTATACTTGAGCATTTTTCCTGATGTCTTAGGGATGGAGATAATAGCTGCCTGAATGTATTAGTAACTGCTTCAACTGCATCATCGATATGCACATCTTGTACCATGTTGTCTGTGAGCTTTGCAGTGGAGGAGAATTTCCAGTCTTCCTTATCAAATATAAACCGAGGGGATCTCGACATGGGGTTTGCTCCTCTTCGTGCAAGAGACACAAAAATGGGATAATGATCCCTGTTGTAAAGATCACTTCCAACACTAAAATTGCAAAATGGGAATAGAGATGGTCAACAGATGGTTAGATCAAGAACGTGGAATATCCTTGTAGGTTCATGGAAGTATGTATTCAGGAGAAAAAGGCAATGGTCTTCAACTATCTGCTCAATTTGTCGGCCATTAAAATCAGCCATTATGATAAAAGGCTCAGGCTTTAATAATTATTGAATCTTCTTGTCCAGTATCCATGAAAGATCATCCTTGATATTTTCCTGAGTGGATTTCAAAGATTTTAATTTTTCACTGTACTGGATCTTAGATTTCTGGATTTTGCCGGTTTCCTGAGTCAGTTTGGATTCGAATTTAGAATATTCTTGGTATTCATTTCAGGAGCTGTTTTTTTGCTGAATTTTAGGATTGATCTTCCTTTCAAATTTTTCCTTATAAGCTTGTACCCTCTGTGACTGTTTACATGTTCCGAAAAATACAGCGAATCTTTTCTTCAGGTTTTTTCGAACAGGTGTTGCTTCTGTGTGGACCACCACATTTAACACATCTTTCTGGATTGTGACAAAGATGCTGTGTATGTCTGTAGGCCTGACAGTGGAAACATTGTGTAGGTAGGCTGTTTTTTCTGATTGTATTTCTCGATTTTCCGATAAAAACTAAACATGTCATTCGGATGAAAAATCTGATTTCTGTGTGCATTCATACATAACTCCAGGAAATGTATGGGTAACTTTTCTTCGATTCCTTTTCTTGTCTCGTAAATTGCTTGATCTTTATTATAGGAATTTCTTATGTTTCAGATCATTAAAAATAGCTTCATGAATTGAAGAGGGAAAGTTCTGACGTATAACTTTGAGATTCTTTTCACTTAGTAACGGGTACGTGTGAAACGGGATTGATTTCTCGTTTAATAACTTTGTCATGGTTCTACTATAATTCGTTATATTTTTCACATATACATGGATGCTTCGACTTTTCATATTAGCTTCATGAGTTTCTGAACAGTTTTGGTTCATCTACTTTCATCCAATCGGAGACATTGCCTAGAAAAAAATAAGAGGGAGAGTTTCATCTGTAGTATTTCTGCCTTCTTCAGTGTCAGGATTCATGGCATCCAATTTCTGGAGTTTATTCGCATGTATAATATCCACAGGTTTGCTGGGAACTGGACTTTTCGAGGGATTGCTTGGAGTTTTCCATTCATTATTAGTCACGGATCCGCTCAGGGTTGTTTAGTCACGGATCCGCTCAGGGTTGTACACTCGTCTGGACGAGGTTTTTTGCTATGGATAACATCAGTTGGCTTGGGCTGTTGAAGAATTTTCACTATTTCAGCAGGTCCATAGGTGTCAATATATTTCTGTAATTTGGCAGCTTTACTTTTTTTCCTCTTTAGAGTGATAGGTAGAATCAATTGCTTTTCTTTTTTCCTTTTCCTCGGCACTTCGGGATTTGATGACATTTCACCCTTTCCTTTCATATTTTTCTTCGAATTACTCGTTTCTTCTAACCTTTCTAAGGCATCCCAATTCCTTTCGAGATTTCTCCGGAATTCATCAGATGGATTAACTCTTTGAGAAACTGAAGAGAAAACTGGATCAGCAGAGTCACTATATTCATCATCATTAGTAGTGGGTGTCCTGAAGGAAGGACATTTTTCGCAGTGATACCCGAAGGTAACACTATAGACTAAAGGCAATCAAAATCAAACTTTAAGAGTTAACTGCACTGGCTCCCTACTTTTACTGAGCCAGGTTCACAAAACCAATTCCACAAGTTAAATGTTGATGCGATATTTGACACTGCTGGACATAAAGCATTTTCAGCATGTTTCAGCGTTGAATAACATAGGATTTTAATTAGCTTTAAAACTGAAAAAGTAGTTTCATAAAAATGTGTAGTGCTGGATGAGAGAAGAACATTTAATGCCATTTGAGAAATAGTGAGAAACCTAATTCTAACTCCAATCCAGGATTTTTGTTAAAACTCAAGTTTTAAGTTTGAATAGCTAGATAGCTTTAAAAATTCCTTTTGCACTTTATATAACACGTAATAATCACATAATAATCAACGTAATGTCTTTAAAATTATAATCTTATTAATGTAATTCCTTTGAAAGTCTTATGAATACAGTTTCTTTAAATTAAACTATCAAATTGAATTTTTTGTGACACCAAAATTTTGGTTTATGACCCCATTTGGGGTAGCGACCCATAGTTTAAGAAACTCTGACTAACTGAATTCCACTGCATCAGTGTTTATAGACCATATTTTAGAGAACCTGTAAAAGGGTGGAGAGAAAAAAAGTTTTGAAAAGAAGTCGATGAGCCCCTGCCCCCACCCTTCCCCCAAAAAAGAGAAATTGCGATCTAGTGAAACATTCTTGTATATTTTAGTTAGGTACTCATAAAAATTATCTAACATTAATATGTATTGCAGCTTTTCTGAACAGGTTACAATATTGTCATGGAATTATCTATATTAATGTATTTAAGAAAAATATTTCATTAATTTTCTCCTAACTATGAGTTAGGAAATTTAGCCCAATAAAATTAATATTTGTTTCTCTGGGCAATAATTCTTCTTTTTTTTCTTTTTCTTTTTAGAATGTGGATCATAAAATGAAATATAAATCAAAGAAAGGACAGCTGCCATTTGTTGAAATAAATGGTGTTGAAATTGCCGACTCTGATATTATTATAAAGGAGCTGAGTCAGATTTTTGGTAAAGATTTGGATGAAAATTTGACATTAGATCAGAAAAATGTTAGTCATGCTTTCGTATCGATGCTCAATAATCATACTAGTTGGTAAGTGTTTTTTTTTTCCTCTAGTTGTGGTTAACTATGAAGAAATATTACTTATACAAATTTACCAGAAAATGGTTGTGATTTTTCAGACTCCATTGTACAGAACAACTTGTCAATAGTGATTGTGTGAATTACATTTTTACAGCTTTAAAAATGCACTTGTAATAATGCATTAATTTAATTTTTAATGTAATTTAAAAATGCACATAATGCACTTGTTTTCCTTTCTACCTTACCTTTCTACATTTAACTTAGGATCCATAAAGAATTAAAAATACTTCTTATAAATTATATGCATATTTTATTAAAAGTTTGAACTTTATTATTTATGCAAGCAGAAATATTACAAAGTCTGCTTTCAAAGTGAATTCGCAAATAATCATATGAAGGGGAAGTCAGAATACATACATTATATGTATGTCGTGTGCCTTTGTGTACTGTTTACTGTGATAGTTACCATAGAAATGCACTGCAAAATAATTCTTATTCAAAATCCAAAGCAAAACTTTGAAGTACGTAAAGTTTTTTAGAATTTCTAGAATACAAGAAAAAGTTGGTTACCAAAGTTTCCCACCTTGCTTGACAAATACAGATGAATTCCAATGCCTTAGGAGCTTAAGAATACAATGTAATAAAGGTTATATGTGTATGTATACTATAATATGTAAAAATGCTGCGTTGTTAAATAGTAATCTAAAGTAATGGGTTTAATATGCTTCCAGAATTTGTAGTACTGCTTCATTACTGATGGTTACCCCCATTTCCAAAGAATATAATATTAATTTTTGACTGTAAAAGTATGAGACCAGACTTCAAAAGTTTCATGAAATCACAATTTACCCTGCAAGTTGTTTCTTTTCCTCCTGGAATAAAATTAACCCCTTAACTGCCACAGAAAGCGTACAAGATTCATTTCCCAGTGCCACGGTTTTTCACACAAGCGCGTAGTTATGTGATGTATTGTAAAAGTATAATAAAAAGTTGTAAGTGTAATAAAAATGATGTTTTTATAATAAAAAAGATCCCTAAAATGGAGTTTCCATCAATTCATTTTTAGACCAGTTAAGTGTAATATCAGGTTTCAGTGTTATACCTTCTGAAATCAGTATCCCTAAAGAAACATATATTTCTTCTGAACTGGTTGAATGCCATGGTTTTGTTCTTGATTTTTCGTTTTCAAGGTGTTTGTTCATATACTCGTCTACAAAACGGCTAATTTCAGTAACAGTATGAAGCATGAGCAATTCATCAAAAAATAATTCTAAAAAGATAAATGGGTTTGAAACATTCATTATATCTTTTTTTTTTTCCTGGAACCTACTTCAAAAAGTAAACAAAAACGGAGGACACAGAATAAAAAAAATACGTTTTACTCAAACAACACCAGCCAATACTGCACAGTCATTTCTTTCACCGCTTTAGACACACTCCTCTCTCCAATTTCTCCCCACTCTTCTCTGAAATAGTATCCTCCTTTGCATACTTTGTAAGGTCATTGTGGTGTTGCATTCCTAAGCTTTGCGAATAATTTTGCGGGTAGCAGAGCAAAGCAAATGATAGTAGTTTAAAAGGGCGTATATATACGCCCGGGCCAGTTAACGCATCAGCTGAGCAAGGTGTATATATATGCCCGCGGCAGTTAAGGGGTTAATGCTATAGCTCTTAAGAGTTTACTATAGAATATTTTCTTATTTACCAATGATCAGTTTGAGAGAAACTATGTAAAATATGTGTTAATCGTTTTAGAAGTAATTATTATGGAAAATTTTGAAAAATATGAATCTGTCTGATCATACATAGAAAATTAGAAATTAATTGTTTTTCTTTTGATTAGGGTGATGCGCTGGTGGCGTTATAGTCACCCTGGAGAATTTCTGAAAGCAGCTCAGTTGGATATTAAGCGAACCTTGAACTCAAAACTACCGAAAGGACTCTTACATTTCTTCTTTAAGCTGGGATTTAAAAGTGTAAGCTAAATAATTTTTAGTTTGAGTACCTGTATAATTTTAAAACAAGTGATATTTTAAAAATAATATACAGTCAAAAGTCGTTAATCCGGACTCGTCGGGACTTCGGCGATTCCGGATTATCGATTTTTCCGGATTATAGATCATCAGTTTAAATCTGGTAAGATGGCATGCAGAAATTACAAAATTAAAAATATGAAACCGTAATTTATGAAATAAAGAACAATTATGATCTAATCAAAATTTACAAAAAGAAAAAGCTTAATATTTATTTGTTTACTTTATTAAACATTTCCTTCAATGTAAGTTGCTTCGTTTCATGTGATAATACTTTCTCTTTAATTCTATTAAACAGACATAATTTCTTGTTTAGTTACAAAGTTCCGCTGTTCAAGTCCTATAATTGCTGTGTTGAGAATACCCACGAAATGTTTTCGTTTTCAATAACCTCTGGGTCACTTTCTTCACTATCCCAAGAGAATTATAATGACCAGGAACTTGATTTAAACCATATCAAAGACAGAATGAAATACTACACTTAGTATGGAATTATAAACCAAATAAAATAAAAACATCTGCCCTGAAGATAAGGATAGTGCTGACAGATCAACTTCCAATACCAAATAAAATAAAAACATCTGCCCTGAAGATAAGGATAGTGCTGACGGATCAACTTCCAATCCAATCCGGATCAACTTCCAATCCAATCCGCTGCCTGAAATTGATAAACAGATTTTGGATCTCAAAACATACTTTCGCTTTGTAGATACAAATTACATATTAGTAAATATATATCAGAAATTCTATTTGACATAATCTTTCTAATCTATCATAATCTAATAATGACGTTTCTGCCCCCCCTTCTGCCTCAGAGCAGCGTGAAATTGATAAACGGATTTCGGATTTCAAAACATACTTTCGCTTTGTAGATACAAATTACATATTAGTAAATATATATCCCGAAATTCAATTTGACATAATCTTTCTAATCTATCATAATCTAATAATGACGTTTCTGCCCCCCCCCCCTCTGCGGCAGAGCAGTGTGAAATTGATAAACAGATTTCGGATTTCAAACATACTTTCGCTTTGTAGTAATATATATCGGAAATTCTATTTGACATAATCGAAAGTTCAAGCTTACTTTTATAAAATTGCTCTAACAGTCTGCAAAAAAATAATAAGCCGGATCCAATTCGAAGATTAAGGAACAACGCAATCTGCAACATTAACTGAATTAGATAACTTTAGCTTAGCGTATAACTCCGTTACACATTAAACGCGCATGCGCACAAACATATTCGCAGCCGTAAGGGTCTTACGCACTCTCGTAAACGCCTGTGTGCATGCGTGAACGCGACGCATGCGCAGAAAGTTTGTAGTTTTGAGGTCCGGATTATGGGTGTCCGAATTAACGACTTTTGACTGTATTTAATGTTTTCTATGCATTTCTGCTTAATGTTCTAAAAAAATTTTAAGGTACAATTTTTTTCCCTCAAATAATTTCCCTTTTATATGCAGAATATAAAGCGTGCTGTTGGTCATGGTGTTGGCCGTCATAACTCTGATGAAATATATGAATTTGGTAAGAAGGACTTGAAAGCTTTAAGTGAATACTTAGCTGAAAAGCCATATTTCTTTGGAGAGGAGCCCCATCTAGTAAGTTACATGATAACTGAATTTTTTATTATTTTGAAATAGGTACCCTGGTGAACTTTTAAGGTTTACTTTATCTGTTCTATAATATTTACCCAAACTTACTCAAATAATTGGCCCAATTTCAGGTTCCCTTTATTTCTTAAATTTAGAAATGCAGAAGAATGAGTAAAATGGACTGTAGATAGATAAAACTAAGTAATATATATCCCATTTCACTTCCTTTACTTATATATGAATAGCGCCAAGAACATAATCAAATTCTTGCCATGTTCATCTGTATTCTCTGATATTATGCATCAAGTTATGATGTAACATGTAGGCTTGTGGGTAGTCTTTTTTGGTTTAATTTTGGTTCACTGTAAATTACAGTGAATTACAGTCTGTAATTACATCAATAATAATATGCAAAGGAATATCAATTAAATTAAGCAATAAAAGAGAAATTTCAGAAAATATGGCATTTAAAAGAAACTTTATTTCACAAAAATATTGAACTTTAGAATGATTCTGTGTGCACTGCCTGAAAATCTACATTCAGTGCTGGATTTCAGATGATTTATAGTTTGTATTTTATGTGTTCTTTCATCTATGTTTTTTTGCCACTAATAGTTTTGTTTTCTAAAAGTCGCAACAAAAAAGTCTTTTAGAGTAAGCTAAAATATATTAGTAGGTTTGTCGAAAAATATTTATTTACAAGACAGATGTTTATTTAAGATCCAGATATATATTTTCAAACATAAATGATACTTTAGATTATGTTTATTAGTTTCAAGAGTCTGTAATATGCTAGTGATGTGTAAACATATATTCTCATGTCATATTTAGCTTTCGGATAAACTGCGTGAAACCTATGCGGAAAAAAAAGTTTTATGATCTTTCTGCAGTTAAAAAAAGGGCATTAGTTTTGACATGCTACTTTTGTTATAATTACTGGATAATTTATCAAATTTGATGAATTTGAATCTTTTTTAGGCTATTTGCTGTTGTTTTTCACCATATAGCTATCTATAATTTTGCCGGCACAAAACAAAGAAAAACATAGCTAAAATGTGAAAAGTATGAATGTACTGCAACCACAGAGCATACAGAACAAAACTTGTCAGTACTAATCTAGCATGGTATTTAAGATTTCTAAGTATTGTACCTCTTATAGTGGTTTCCATAGATACAAGTTTGCTTACATCTTGGGTATTTGAAACAATATACAATATTCATAAATGAACAAATAGATTTACCTCTAAATGAGCAGCTAGGTGTAACACAGAAATAATAAATATGTTTCTGTTGTAGATAAATTATTAAACTATACAGGATGATACAAGAACTATTATCACAAAATCTGCATGTAGGTCAGGAATGCAATCCAGATGCACTACATGCTGACAAAGCCAGATATGTGAAATAAGCCTCAAATAATGATAACTTATTATACAACATTGTAGTTTACAAGAAAGTTTTAAAGCAGGTGTTCAAAGTTGTGACCTGCAGCAGTAATACGTGCCTCGCAACAATGCAGCAATCAATGAACGTTTGCAAGAGTTCCTGGTTATCGGCAATAACTCCACTTGCAGCAATAGTTTGTGCTACCATATCCATTCCCAATTCTACAGAGGTTTCATATACTAGTGTTTTCATGTAATCCCAAAGATACGAATAAACAGAAGACGGACCTGGTGAATGAGTGACCATGGGATGGGTCAACATAGCCAACATTGCCACCGAAATGTAGCATCCAGATATTAGTGGGCAACCCGGGGGAAAATGCACTGGAGTTGTCATATTGAAACTATATCCACTGCTATGCATGCTGCAGTACATCACTCAGATATATACATCATCTAGGGTTGGTAGAAGCAAGCAGGGGCCGATCATTCTAGTACCAAGCAAACCTGCCTGGCATTGACACTGTACCAACATTGAGCGGCATGGGGTTGTGTGACTCTTGGATTTTCATATGTTTACACATGTGCATATTGCAGATACCTTCTTGTATAAATATCACTTCATCATTAAACAGGATATCAGCTGCAGATTCAGGAACCACTGCGATCTGCTCTACAAATCAACATGCAAAGTCCATACACTGCTGGTAATCGCCAGCAGACGGAGCCTGCATATGGTATATGTGCAACTTGTTCTTGTGTAAGATATGCAAAATGCTGAACTGAGATGCATGTAAAGATGCTGCAGTACTTCGAGCACTTGCCCTGTGTCATTTTCAACATCTGACAGCATGGCTTCTTTCATGCTATGTGTCTGCCTTGTTCTGTCAACTTCATGCTTTGAAACATCCAGTTTCACGCAATCGATTATGCAGACGTCCAAACATGATATGAGTCTGTTGGGAGACTGGGAACAATAGTTCCCTACCGGCTGTGCTACTGCAATTAGCTGCTTTATAAATGAGGTGCAATTAGGTGTTTTTCTATATGTGTAGCGATTCATCCTTCCTTATGCTCATACACTAAAAATAGGCTTTTTGCCCGTTGAACCTGACCAGCTTTTCACGTGAACTCTAGCGCCCTCTTGCACATCTGGTTTGCGCATGCGACCAAATGTTCATGTATTTTTCTTGCTTGTTACCGTGTTCCTTTCCTATATGTAGATTTTTGAAAGGTAGTTCTGAATCATTCTGTATACCATACACCAAAGTAAAAAGTCACATATGAGATCTGCTGTTCTTAACTACATAATTATATTATTAATATTTAAATGAAACATTGATGTCAATGACATATGTTTTGTATGAATATTTAAGTTGCTAATTATGCTCATAAGTGTTGCAAAGCAGCAATATTTGTAGTCAACTGAACCTCAGACACATTATAATTATATTTTAAAGTATAACACACTTTAAAAGTTGATCTGCTGTAAAGTGAAATACAGTAGGTTTTATTTCATATTCTTCTTTCTATTGAAATGTTTTTTGCTCACATTTTTCTTGTTGCATTTTATTTTATGCAATGTCATGTCACTGAATTACAGAAATATTTTTGCTAATTATACATAATATTTTGAAAACAGAAGCCCTTAGATATTTTGTCAAGTGGAATTTATAAGGGAATGTCATTCATGTATAAAATAATTCAGTTTCTTTGACTTTGTGAGTAGTCAGAAATGTGAATATCAGTTTTCATTTTAGTACAGAGGCATGAATTTGCCTTGTTTTCTGTTGTATGAACAGTTTTTATTCTGTGTGCATTTTACACCTCTCTGTTTAAATTTTGATTTTTATAAGTGCATGTGCAGAGAAGTTTAGAAAGTTGGGTACTTATGTATTACTCGTCGATCGTGAAAATTGGCAGAGATCTTACCAAAGTTGCACCAATCGCTCCTGTGGAATTTTGTGGAAAGTGACAGCTATTAATTTAATAATCAATCTGTATTCGACTTGTTTTGTCGTGGCTTGTCATAAAAATAAAAAGGCTTTCATCGATTTCTACTGTTTTTTTAGGCTGCCCGATTATACCGGGAGTTTTTTAGAATGCTTTAGGTATAAACTTCGCGCATGCAAATTTTTCAAGTTGTTACTGTTTTTTTGACCATATCGTGTCTATTAATATGATTCGGCTATTCCTCTAATATAGTATAAAGGTGTACTGTTTTTTTGACCATATCGTGTCTATTAATATGTATTCCCCTTTTTTAAACTAGGATTCTTAACTTTGAAAATAATCTTCTAGTAGTAGAAGGCAGGTCACAAATTTTAACTTATTTTTATTTTATTTATTTTTCAAATTGCTAGAAAACTACAGCTGTAGCAGTTGAATTATATCTTTAATCTTAAAAACAAAGGTGACTTGTTGAAGATTATTAGAATATATTAAACAAAACATATTATTATGTTAAACATTAAAAGTAGCATGTTATGACAGAAACAGAAGTTTAGGCATTATGTGTGTATTATTGCATTGCATTTGTCTATAATTGCCACTAGTTTCACACTTAACAGTATAATATGCAAGTACTGAAAAATTGTGCAATGTCAAAAAGAAATTTTTACCTGAGCAGTAGACCAGACTGTTAATAATTTTTCATCCATGAATGTTTAAATGAAGAGTGAAAAAAACGGGGGTGCTGCTTGTGACAAGTTTTTAATGTCTTTTTTAATACTGACCTCGCTGCTATGCATACAGCTGTTTTCTTCCACAAGTGTATTAAAATTTTTTATTATTATTAAAAGACAGAAAAGAAACATGCTTCAAATAAATCATAAAAGTGAAGCAAGAACCCGTGTTAAGTGTAGACTTTAGCATAGAAACGCTATCGATTTTGAGGGCGAATAAAGTCCCTCCTTATCAGAAGCAAAGAAATCTGCAACTGAAAAACTAAGTGAGAATATAGGATAGAAGAGAAATATGCCAATGTGATAATCAAAATCACAATAACAACCTTGTATTTAGCGTACATATATTAAAACAATCGATTTCAAGTCAGCTAAAGGTCTTCCTCATCAGGAGTAATAGTATAATTCTCCTCATCATAAGAACGAAATTACTAGAAAGGGGAAAAAAGAAGAAAAATAAAGCATTGGCAAAGGAGTCTTAGAACCACGTGTGTTAATGACCACATGCTTCCGAGACTTCTTTGCCAATACTTTATTTTTCTCCTTTTTAGTAATTTCATTCTCCTGATGAGGAAGGACCTGCCCTCGAAATCGATTGAGTGTTTTAATATATTTACGCTAAATAAAAGGTTGTTATTGCGATTTTGATTAAGTTAGAACATATTTATACCCTAAGGAAGTCGAGAAAGTAGCGCCATCTGTTAGTAGAAATAATAACGAAAATTGCAAAAATTAGGATAATAGAGATTTAAAAGTGTTAGGTAGGATTGGATTAAAATCAGTAACTAAACACTGTAAATTTTGGTGAATGTGAAAAGCTTCAAGAAAAACTAATTCCCAAGTGGAAGAAGCTTTCTGGCTAATTTTTGCAGATTCCAAGTCAAAATTGTGATTATTTTTCCAACTATGATTAGCAATTGAAGACTTGTAAATG